GTGAAATTTTTGAAGTATGAATTTTACTTAGGTTGTGCAGTTGCAGCAGGCTGATTTTTTCCTTTATCCCAGAAGTAACATAGCACTTGCTGAATTGTAAGTAGTGGTTACTGTGCGGGTGGCTTTTGAGACAAGTTCTGTGGTTCTTTTCTGCAGGTAATAAAATGGAAAATCCAATATACAATTGCAGAATAAGCCTTTGAATGAAATACGGTTTTCGTAGCAGCTTTGGTCAGAGGGTTACCACTAATCACAGTACTGGCTTGCTTCTTCAGCTCTTGTTTGAACTAGCTAGCATAGATTTAGACAACCCCGCCTTTTGCTTATTAGATTCTCTTAGTCATAGTGCTTAATCCCACTGTCTGATCCTTGTTAAAACAGAAATATTGTTGCAGCCTCTAATAAAGGGTGAACTAGGGGTGTTCATGGGACAGACTGAGGACTGAATTGCTTCCTACAAGTTACTTCTTAAGAAAAGATCTGAATATCTGGCAGAAGAGCATTACAGGTAGTGCTTGATTTACAACCACAATTGAGCCCAAAATTTCTGTTGCTAAGCAAGACAATTGTTAAATAAGTTCTGCCCCGTTTTATGACCTTTCATGCACAGTTGTTAAATGAATCACTGCAATTGTTAAGTTAGTAACACAGTTGTTAAGTGAATCTGGCTTCCCCATTGACTTTGCTTATCAGAAGGTCACAAAGGGTGATCACATGACCTTGAGAAATTGCAACTGTCATAAATATGAACCAGTTGCCAAGCATCCACATTTTGATCGCATGACCACGGGGGTGCTGCAAGGGTCGTAAGTGTGAAAATAGCAGTAGCAATGGCACTTAGACTTATATACTACCCCACAGTGCTTTACGTCACTCTCTGAGTGGGTTACAACTCCTCATTTTACCAACTTCAGAAGAATGGAAGGCTGAGTCAACCTTGAGCCGGTCAGGATCAAGCTCCAGATTGTGGTCAGAGTTAGCCTGCAAAATTGCATTCTAACCACTGGTTATAAGTCACTTTTCCACTGCCATTGTAACTTCAAACAATCATTAACGAATGGTTTTAAGGACTACCTATACTGGGATAATGGCAACTATTCCTAGGGCAACATTTTATTCTTTCTTTCTGCATGAGTTAGGTTTTCTCTAATTACACTGAGCCTTTTTTATTCATAATAGGGTATACAGATCATGGGAAATATAAATTAAGAATAGAGAGAATCATATTACTGGAAAATTCTGATCGGAAATGGCTGTGATGATTAAATCATGCCGATATAGCATCATTCCTAAGCCTCTCCAATTTGCTTCCAAACTCAAAATAAAAATGATTTACATTAACTTCTAAAATCATTAATTAGAAGCTTGTCTACCTATGCAGATGCCAAATGCCAGCATGAGATTTTATGCAATGACATAGAGCAAAAATAACATTAATAATGCTTATTATTCTAAAAATATTTAACGTTCTGACCCTGAAAACCTGTTTGACTTCAGTAAAAAGGGCTTCTGTCTCTCAATGATACCCTGAGCCATGCTTGGAAGCAGCTTAGCCACTGGCAGATTCAACCATACCAGGCAAGACAGACCGGATGAAGTATAGTCCAAACACAACCATGTTAATGGTGAACACACGAAATAAATAAAGAGGAAGTTTTTGCCTGATCAACAAGGATCAGGCGCTATCAATGCTAAGCAATCAGGGCAGCCTGGGAAAAACAGCAAAGCAAATTAAATGGTCATTTTGAAGAACACTGAGCAATCATGAAATGCTGTTTCAAGTCAAGTCCTGAAATTGAGGAATTTACTATTCCAATTACTATTTGGAAACACAACTAATCACTTTCAGAAACCAATGAACAGAAGTTAATGGATCAACAAAGATTTATCTTTAGAACAAAAGTGTTAGGCATATCACATTGCAAGTACCATTGGAACAATTAGCTGAGAATATTAATACAGATACTCCTTGCGCTACAATGGCAGTTGGGACCAGAATCTCCACTGCTAAAAAATGCAGTGATAAAGTGACACATCATGTGACCACATTGCTTAATGATGGCAATTCTCATTGTTGTCATTAAGCAAGAATTGTGGGTTGTTAGGTAAGGACCTGATGTGCCCATGACTTGCTGCTGGCTTCCAATAAAGTGAATGGGGAAGCCGGCAGGAAGTCGAAAGTCCCACATTTGCAAGCAGTGCTAGCAAAGCAAGTACTGTGGAGCTTTGGTGATATCTTTGGGAAAAAGCTGGGGGGTGTCACTTATGGGAAAAATATGGAACCTCCCTGCTGTTTTCCCTGTTGACTTTGTTTGTGGGAAAATAGCAAGGAAGGCTGCAAATGGAGATCACACTGGACACTACAACCAGCATAAATATGGGTTAGTTGCAAGTATCCGAATCACAATCACATAACCATGGGAGTGCTATGATGGCTGGAACTTTAAGGACCAGTCGTAAGTATCTCTTGTTCAGCACTGTTGTAAGTTTGAGTAAGTGGTCATTATTTGTAGTATTGTCAGCTTTCCCAAATAGATCATACCAGAAACACAGTCAGATAGGCATGCAGTACTTTATTGTAAAGCTACGTTAACAGAATCTTACAAGAAAATATAAATTTCCAGGCTTCTGGTTTGGAATTGCGGCACCGGCGGACGGTTGGGGTGATTGCTCTCTCTGCTGTCCGGTTTTCTCCCGCCGAGGGACCCTGAAAAGGGTCGAAAGTCACCCTGGAGGGGTGACGAGTGTGAAGAGGACCCCCGACTGATCGCGGAAGGGCAGCAGCCCTCCCGTTTGATCCGGGGCAGCTCTTCTAACTGACGGGGAAAAGATCGGCCATTCACATGGCCCATCACTTATGCCGTTTCCAGCCAAAGCCAAAATCACTATCAAGAACCGCAGAGGATCTGGATGAGATTCTACCTTCTTTGTATCCCAAGTGCTTGCCTGTAAAAAGCTTCTTGAAACTTCTTCCCCTTGCGAGGAGAGAGGGAAGGGAACATTTTTTCTTTCCCACCCTCTAAAATGGCGGCGTCTGATTACACAGAGAAAATAAAGCCCCGAAGAGGCCAACTAAGTAACTAGACTTGCATCTTTCTGATATTTGGCAACCCAAAAAGAAGCGGAAGAAATTAATACCAAGACAGAGGACCTTGAAGAATAGCAACTACAATATATTGAAAATGCTCACAGCTAAACCCTGACTGTAACTAAAAAACCTACAACCCAAAAAGTAACAGAAGGAGAAGAAAGCAATACCAAGATAAGAGGGTGTTAAAGATCAACAAGGACAACATATTGAAAACTTAGATAACCAAACAACAACTACAAAACTGGACATGACCTTTTACTTAAACCAGAAGAAACCTGAGGAGGAAGAAGACCAGACCAAATTGAAGATAAAGATACTAGAGCAAATACGGAGAGCTGACCCACCAGGACAACAATTTAATGATTATACCAGCTCCTCTGGAAAATTGATGACTAGATGGTCTCCTTTAATTCAAGCAACACGTGCAAAATGAAGGGAGATCTATCTGATGATCTAAAGGCATTGGCATGGAAGCCTGGTTGACACAAAAAGAAAGCTAGAGTTAGATTTTAAAAATGGGGTCTTCTGATTTATTAGAGAGGATTTTAAAGTTTTAATGGGCTAAAGGGAGATTTTGAGATGAAGGGAAATATGATTATTATAAAATGATTTTAAAAAATAAAGAAAGTATAAATTTCCCACCATCTCCTTTACAGTCTGAGAAACTAGGCAGGCTCACTTTTAAGCCTCTTTTTTCTCCCTATTATGCAGCTATTCCCTCTTATCTGGTCATCCTGAAGACAGAAGGGAAAGGGGGGGACATGTTTGAAACCTTTAAATATATTAAGGGTGTGAATAAGGTTCTAAAAGGCAGTATTTTCAATATTAAGCAAAAATTAAGAATATAGGGGCATAATATCAAACTGACAGGAAGGAACTTCAAAAGTAATGTTAGAAAGTATTACTTCACAAAAGGAGTAGCGGAAGCTTGGAACCAACTTCCAATAGAGGTAGTGGGTCAGTCATTAGTAACCGAGTTTAAATATGCTTGGAATAAACACATCCCCCAAAAATGAAAAATTAAAATAAAAAAATCAAAGGACAGACTCAGTGAACCCCTAGGTCTTTTTTTGCCATCCTGGCCTTCCTGTGTTTGCAGACCTTTGCATCCTATGCTAGTGTGCACACTGTACCTTCTGTCTCCAGCCTCCCTGTGCTGGTGCTGCACTGCAACACCAGCACTCCCCATCATCAACTCAGGGATAGTACCCCTGTACTCCTTAGCTGGGACTCCTGCCATTTCCTAGTTAACAACCTTTGTATCTTGGGTTATAATGACAGCATTGTATTGCCATCACTAAGTAATGCAGTCACATGACATTATCCTTTATAACCACACTGCTTAGTGACTGCAATCTTGGTCCCAGTTGCTGTCGTAACTTGAGGACTACCTGTATTATTAATGTCAGAAGTCAGTAAAATGTGATGATGCTCAAAAAAATTGATCATTTGGTGACCTTGGGCTTCATTTCTAGTTGTTGTCAATATTTGTACTGGTATGTGAGAAAGACACTGAGAAATGGGACGAAGAAATGCTGCCCAGGGAATGACAGAAACATAGATTTTTACACCTCTCTTCTAGGTCACATATTGATCTACTTAGTATATAGGATTTTGCATTCTCATACTGCCCTTGCTGCTATTGCTGTGTTTTTGTTTTTATTTACTTATTTAGAAAATTTATATTGCTGCCTGCTCACAAATGGCAACTCAAGGCTTACAGGACATAAAAGCACAATATAAAAGAAATAAAAATAATACAATAATAACCCCCTACTCCACTGTTGCAATTATTGCTTCCTCCTGCTCCTCCTCTTATTCTTTTCTCCTTCCTAGGTGGTATTAAAATGTTCTTCTTATAATCAGATAGCAACTGTTTTTCAACAATATTAAATATTAATTTTTTCAGGAAACTTGGATTTGACTGGTCAAAAGCAAGTCTTCAAAGCAGAAAATAATCCATGGGTAACTCCTATTGCAGATCAGTTCCAACTGGGTGTTTCTCATGTGTTTGAATATATTCGTTCAGAAACATATAAATAGTGAGTATTGCATTTTTGCATATGTTTTGTTCCATGGTTCCTTGCTCTGATATTTATTAGGACATTTTGTTCTATTATTCATCTCCTCATAAACCAAAGGGTCAACATATCCCTGAATTTAAATTATTTTTCCCATTCTAATGTCTTCAAGATATAGTGTTACATTTCTCATCATTTCAAGCCACCATAATTTTTGTTTTTAAGTTTTTGTTTCCCATAATTTGTGATTGTGGCAATACAGGAGTTTCCCCCCCCCATATACATACAGTATTTATTCCTTCCAGCCTGCATCTTGTCTAAACAATTGCAGCTTATTTCAGTTAAACCCTTGATGTGATTTAACAAAACTTTAAAAGTTTTATAAATAGATTCTGCATGAAGAAAAAAAATTAGAAGAATTGTTGCATGTTATATCAGTAAAGATATTCCTTAAGTAAATATTAAATAAATGTAATAACATTATCTATATACTGCTGAAATAATTATTGTTTGTAACCTTCACTTGGGTAAAACTGGAAGAAATGGGGCAACAATTTTTGAACCAAGGTAAATCAAATAGAATAACTTATAGAATGCTAAGATCCATGATTCCCATAGGAATGAAATTTTGGCAAGTCATGGGTGTTTCAGCACCATCATGTTTGCAACTACACTTCCCAGAAATTCATGGGTTGTGTTGCTCAAGGGAAGATGCTCATCCTCTTCCCATTTCTGCTGTCCCTTGCAGCCAAAAGACTGGCGACAAATTTTGACAGATGAGCAACCATTGTCTTTGGAATTGAGGCTGAAATTTTACATCTCTTAATGTAGCTGGGCATTGAGGGAAATAAGAGGAATCAACTCAAATGCCTGCCCATGGAGTAGGACTGGCTGGGGGTTGACCGGTAAGCCCTCTTCCTCTCTGGATTGAAGGGGCCTTGAAAGGGTCATGCTGGGATGGGAATTGGGTACAGTTTTCCTAGGAATCCATAGTTCCCTTTCTTCCTTTGACTCCAGGAAAGTGGCAGGCAGTTCCTATGCCCTTAGCAAAGTGACAGCCAAGAAGGAAAAGGAATGATGCTCCCTGCCAGCTTTCCACAAGCATCATCAATGAGAAAGCCAGTAGGAAGTTGAAAGTTGCTTCTGTTCCTGCTGCTTTTTTGTCTTCATTTATAACATTCCATCAGTTTCCCAGCCATTCTCACAATCACTTACTTATCTTCCTGCTTGGAAGGGAAGGGGAGGGAGGGAAGGAAGGAAGGAAGGAAGGAAATAAATTTCTGCTCCCCACCAGAGTCCCCTAAGGAAACACAATAGGAAGCTGGGAGGAAGTTAAAAGTTGCTACTGCTCTCACTGCCTTTTTGCCCTCTTTTGGTCATTCTTTTTTTCTGTTTAAGTAGAGGAATATCTCTGAAATCATAACTAGAAGGGCACAAGTTGTCTAGTATCTTTTAAAGTTAAGGTCATGGTTTCGTATTCTGTTCCTGTTGTCTATGAAAGTGCATTTGAAAACAAATGATCATATGACATAAATTGTTTAGATAAAATTTAAAATATGTTCCTTTATATGGCAAACTGAGTTCACATTTGTGATGGTGCTCCTGAAATTTCTTGATCAATCATGTGAAACATTACATGTCAACTTTTTCCGTTGGATGGAAGTCATTTTTTAGTCTTAGTGACTACATAGATATATTTTCTCCATGATTTGCTTCACTTTCACTTTGAATTTATTTAGAAGCATTCTTTGTTCATTGGTGTAGGGTAACATAAAAATGACTTGGGATTATCAGAAGGAAAAAGGAAGAAAATTCTGGGAGTAGTGAGCAGTACAAGAGTTGAAATATATTTTGCTTGTGGGTGAGGTACATCAGTGTGATTAATGGCATGGTGGGAGGAGATTATTTCCTGAATATTCTGAAAGGAAAATTCAAGTGGAATATATAAGGAACGTTCCAAGTCTGCAGTTTATAGACACAATCCAGAACAGACCTAATCCAGCTGTGGAATATGTTTCCTGATTACATTTGAAAGAACAGTACTAGCCCTCCAGTTAATGATGTTAGTGGAATAAATATGCCTCCACACTGGTATAAACAAATTTTATCAGTAAAGCTTAATTATATCCTCAGAACACTGTTTAGATGTGAATCTACCAAAGTTACCTTTTTCTGAGGGAGTAGAATATTTGGGTACTATCAGCCTGGATCAAAACATCTTCTACTTCCCGTCATCAATTCTATCTTCCCCAGTATCCACCTTTTTAGCCAAGTAGGTTTATGTGAGATCTATACCTACTAGTTATTGAGTATCTCACTGATTATTGATAATTTGTACAGATAAAACAGATTCACAAGTTGTCCTAGAATGTTGTTTATTTGATACATATTACAAAAACAGAAGGTATTTGAGAGTAGCATATCAGCTCTATGTTTGGAAGTGCCATAGCTAAGAAAAGGAATTAAAGTGCATAAATTATTGAAATAAGCTTTCACCTTCTGGTTCATGATGCATTTTCAATGAGGCCTTCAGTAGTGAATGAATTTCCCTCCCATGGATTAGAGTATATGTCAATTGCAACTGCCATATGTTAGGAATTATGATGAAACCATAAAAAAATGTCTGGCTGTGTTAAATGAGACGTAAATCCAGTAATATTGCAGTGAGCCATTGTCTTAACATACAAGAAGTTGTAATTAGCCAGAGAACATAATGGATCTTTAATGGATGAGAATTTTTGATGCAATGTACTTTTTAAAGATGCCCATGTTAGGTTCTCTTTCAGGTAGTTTCAGGGTTAGAAATTTTGGGATAGAATTGTATTTGCAGCAGAGTTTTTTTGTATCAAATAATACTTAGGGAACTTTGGTTGTATTAAAAAGGAAATTGTTGTGGAAGATTATACATGAAAACAAGAAAAGGGTACTTTTGGATAGTTCTCCTTGTAATAAAATAAACACCTAATAAATAATAATTCTGGACTAACTTTGGTTTGAAATTCCAAAGCTAATATGAGAATATATTCCATTAAAATATGATACTTTTTGTAGCACACCACATTGTGTTAAAGCAGTTTTTTTCCTTTGAAACAACAAACTATAATGTATTTCTTTTATGCTTTTGTTGACTTGGTTTTGTATTTAGTTCTTAGAGGCAAGAGACATTATTTAATATTCCAACATTGTTTTTACTTGCTTATTCCTTTCAATTGCATTTTTAAAAGATTAGCAAGCTGATAAACTGAAAAGACACAGAAAAGAAGTAATAAGGGAAAAGATACAGAGAAAAGAGATGAATTCTTCAAATCCATAACAAAATGGATGATTGGCTTTTAATATCTTGATGCCTTCCCCAAATGTACTCAAAAGATGTGATTGGGAAAGCTGAGAGTTATATTCTGATGCATCGAGAGGGCTCCACATTAGGAAAAAATATCTCCTAGGATGTCTATATCTAATTTAAGCTTATTCCTCCCTCAGGAGAAAGACCAGAACTTTCTACTTCTTATAAGCCATAATGCTAAAGCCTTTCCTTTGAAGGTAATAATTATATAGTTTTTATTGGTGCTCCTAGTCACCTTTCAAAGTAACCTTTTATATTTGAAGTATAATTCTCAAGGGATCGTGTATGTCATAGATAGTGACAAAGACATGATGAATAGTAGACTTTATTGGTTATAATGTACTCAGCAAGTGCATATAGACATAAATGTTTAAAACAAAACAGAAAATTAAATTCCTTTGAATAATTGCAGTCCTGAAACACTATTCAAAATTGGAATAATGGAATTAGTAATTTGATGGTAAGCTTTTAATGTGATAAGAAGGAAGGGATATTAAGGATTGGCCTTAGTGGCTAGACCTCATGAAGCAAGAGGACATTTTTCAAATATGATATGCATATTAATTATATTGTCCTGATTATTTCACTATGTGCAACCAAGAGCTCTTTTTTTCTGAACAACATACTAGTTCAGTAATCTCATTTATGGTCCTGAGTTTGAAGTCACTGACTGATTATTTCATCTCAGCTAGAGATTTTATTACAGTGGTTGCAGTGTTTTTCACTCTTTGCTTTTTTCTGTGTAACTGTTATACTAAATATACAGGTTTTTTTCACACTTGCTTTGAGAGGTGCTGTTTCCTTCAGTGACCTTGTCATTTCACTTCATGCAGTTCTTAAGAAGTGTTTTACTTCATTACCATTGTGGAATTAACTTCTAGAATTAACCTTGTGAACCAGAGTAATTCAGCACCATGTCTGAAAAATAGTCAGTCCTCAGAATGAGCAACATCAGAAGGTCCTTTGTATCTATAGTCCAACACTGCAATAGTTGAATTATCTTCTCAGCTTCTTCGTGTGATGCCAGATGATATTAATATGACAAATTAATTTTAATATTTAATAAGTGAAAGGGGACTTTCCACATAGGAAATAGGACAAGATGAGCTAATTCTACTTTATTGTAAGACTATATTACCAGAATCTTGTAAATTTGAATGTAAAATTATTTTAGTTTTGGAGACCAAATTACTTAGGATCAGAATTTCAGAAAATAAGTGGTTTTAAAAATGGTTATATGTTACCTTTGATTCATCTCTTGTATATAGTCTTCTTTTGTTTTCATCCAAATAAGAAAAATTTAAAATGTTGGGATAGAAATATACTGTACAAGGGCTTGTTCTTTCACTTGGATGCTTCTAGGGGCTATATATCACTGCCAAATGTTGTTTCAGAAATAGAGTCTGTTTTATAAAAAGTCAGTGCTGAACCCCAGAAAGAATTATTTAGTGACATCTAAAAAAAATTGAGGGAACCCAAATATTTTAGAACACATTTAATATTTAACGCCCTATTGAAGTTACATACTGCTTTTATATCTCCCTTTAGATTATTCAGAATGGTTAACACAGGGATCATCTATAAACAGTTCTATAATACAGGGACCATCTGTAAACAGTTCTATATTATAAAGAAGAAAAATTAATGATAATATCTGCAGTAACGGTTTTCTCCCAAG